ATATTTAAATAAGCCAAGAAGGGAAAGAAGGTAAAAGTTAGAGACCCTAAAATAATACAGAAAAAACCCCAACAATTAGACAACCTCCATCTGGTCTTTAAGTCTGACGTCATTAGTGTCCAAACTCCACTTCAGGTCCCAAAGTCAAAGGAACACTGCAGCATCACTGAGAGTTACAAACTGTCTAAATTATTTTATCTGTAATAAAATCCATCCATAAAAACAGATTTTATGAAATTTAACACAATTAGCAGGAAGTTAGCTCACTAGTTTCCACCTAAACACGATATAGCATGTTCTGACTGACGGATTTCTGAAAAAATTCAAACGTACAGCTCTGCTATCACTTCCAACATAAATGAAGAAAAAACTAAACAGCAGTGACATTTGTAGGGTTACTGAAGTTGGGCTAGCTGGTACATAATGATGTGCCACGTGATCGCTAGCAACACAGCGATGTTAGCATAACATAAACACAGTGAAGCTGGAGGATGAACGCTAACGTTTTAAGTTAACGTGAGGGTTCCTGATGGTTAGCGACAAATGCAGTCGCATGGCAGGATGCTGTAAACGGACCAAAGTTAGTCATTAATATTACAGCTGGGCTGTAGTTACATCGTAAGGTTTTAAAAACTGAGCTTTCAAACGTGCTGCCGATGAATAATGGTAAATAAAACCGAGAGAGGCCGACAGTTATCACGGATTTTTCTTTTTTTTTTTCTTTTTAGGGGCTTGTTCAGATTAAATAGAACAAGATACAAAGCATTAAAGCATGTAAAAAAAAAAACAAACAACGGCCTTAATAAACGCAGAGTAGTTTAAACCCGGTAGCAGCGTTTATAAGTCATCACTTATGAGCAAGCACTTGGCAACAGTGGGAAGGAAAAACTCCCTTTTACCAGGAAGAAACCTCTCACAGAACCAGGCTCATCTTAAGTAATTGAACAATTGTTTAATTGAGCTGTGAACTATTCAGTGACACGAACAAAAGTAACACAAACAAAAGTAACAAATCTATATTTTAAAGGCTGGAAAACGATGAGATGATAAATTTCAAATCCAGCCGTGTCTCACAAGTGCTCCTTGTGTTTCTGCTGTAAAGGTCCTCGAGCTGCTGAAGGTGGCGTGGATGCGGCGTCTCATCTTCACCGTGGGAACGTCCAGCACCACCGGAGAGCCCGACACAGTGGTGTGGAACGGCATCCACCACAAAACCGAGATGATGTCCAACTTGTCGGGCCACGGCTACCCTGACCCCAACTATTTGGACAATGTTCTGTCTGAGCTGGCCTCTCAGGGCGTGACAGAGGACTGCCTCAAACCCCCAGGAAGCGGCAGCGGCGCCAGCTAGGCCTCAGCTCCGAGCTTCGCACGCTTCCACTCACTGCTAACCCACCGAGAGTTAACCCTCCTGAATCCTCTGCTCTGTGCCCAGGTGGACTTCCTGCAACATCTGTGTGTTAATAAATTCATGTCAGCGTCCACCCAAACCTCATGGAGTGAGCGAAGGGAGGGAAAGTGAGCTAAATAAAAGCCTTGAATCCTCTTTGAGAGGAGACACAGTTGGAGTAGAATTGTTTGGTTGCGTCACGTGTTACAGGAGATTGGACTCAGATATAAAAAAAAAACAAGAAAAAAGCAGCAGGGCTCCACTGACTGAGCCCTCCATCAAACCTCCATCAGCTGGAGGTTCTTTCTGTTTATTTGTTCGTCCGTTTGTTTGTTTGTTTGTTTTATTCTACTCTCTTCTTTTTCTCATCAAGCCTCATCTATATCCCCTCATTCGGTTTCCATGAGAATGGGAGCTTACGCTGGGGATAAAGTCTCACAAGCACTTTAGTTCTGACGCTGCGTTTAGCTGGCAAGATGTGCGATCTCCCCATAAAGGGCAATTCTTCTTCTTCTGTTGTTTTTAAATTGGTAACTAATGCCAAAGTGTTTCTGCTGAAAACGTTCACGTTTAGCTCAGCGACACCTCTCGTAGCAAACTCCGTATTGATGAGAAGAGGCAATATTTACTGTTGTAAATAAATCTAAAAAAAAAGAAAAAAGAATTAGACAAAAATATGTTTAAAAAACATTTAACACTACTTCTGATCTGACCGTGATATATTTAACACAATTTGATGAGAAGAAGCACTCACAACAGTCTGATTTTACTTTTTATTTTC